TGGGCAGCCAGTTTGAAATCACTGATCATTGCGCAGTTCATGTGAAACAAATTCTCCCAAAATTGCCTTACAACATCATAAGTATCTATCTCCTTTTTCCTCGAGGGACTTTCATTGTATAACAGAACATTCCATTGGCTACTTAAATAAATATTATTAAAATTTTTATGTTCATTAATTGTCCAAAAATTTATTCAGTATTTTATTTGGCAGAAATGTTCAGTTAAAATTTTAATATAAGATAGAGTTAGAAAGCTCTGCTTTTCGCTTTTTGTCATACTATAAGTTGCCTGAGTTCCATGTCCTATAGCAATAATGAAAAACGAAAGTTTTAGAGGAATCAAACTAATGTCATCAAAACGAGGTTTTGCATGAATTTCGTAACGTCGAAAGTTGTCAGTTTATTATGTCTAAACTAAAAAGGATAAAAGTAAAGTAAGTAAGGATAAACGTGACGTTTGTTCGAGTAATCAAGGGAATGCATTCAAGGGAATAAGTCGAAATGCAAATCCTTTGACAGGAGAAGAACACGTTAATTTTTTTTTTACTTGAAATTTGCTGTATTTACCAGATGAAGTGTACCAGTAATGCTATAATTCATGAAAATAACAATTTGACGTTATTTTAGCACGAAAAGAAATCTATTTGAAAAGTGTTATTCTCTCTTCTCCATTTCCAAAGATTGCAATAAAACTCAAAGCATTGATTATTTCCGTCCATAGACAGCTCATGGTATCTGGATAGGAATGTTGAATGGGGGTCGGGAAAAGTCGCATTAATAGCTTGAAAAGCTAAAATTCCTTTTCTACAGTTTTCGCATTTCTGTGATTTCATGGTTATAGGCAGACTTTCAAGGCAGCAGAACATTATGCAGAAAATTTGGTTTGGATCATCCTCAGATTGCAACAATTTCTGATGATCGCTAAGTCCATTCCTTGTCAGGGCATCAAAGGCAATCAATAACACATGCTCGGTATTACAGCCTCATTACAGGTGTAGAAAGACCAATTTCCGTTAGTGCCATGAAAACAAAATTGGTTGCACTTGGCTGTGATATGCAAAATTCAGCCTTTGTATCTCATTTGCAAGAAAAGTTCTCGATTGCAGTTCTGTCAGCTTAGATTCCAGATGACTATGTATTTTTCTCAGACGAATCGAGATTTTCTTTCTTCAGAGCTTCGCTCGATTGATTTTAATAAGGAGACTAAAGACAACGGATGGTATCAAACGGCTAATATCACGGAAAAAGTCATTTGCTATAATGACAATACAAAGCGGTATTTGTTTCTAGGTGGAGCAGCAACTTCCTTGCCTTCTGCCGGCATACTATAACAAGATAATTCGACAATGTTCTTCAAACTATATTTCAGGTTTTTTGCGGTCACAATCAGTTTAGAAATTTTAAACATGGCTAAGGCTGATAACATAGGCTTCTTATGAAAGAAGACTTTCTACCGACAGGAGAAATTCAGATACTTTATTGGCAACAAGCGTATTCTTCAATCTATAACCTTAATCTTAAATACATATAGAGTGTCCTTTGAAAAGACCTATATAACATCGCCTCATGCCAGCAGTGCAATAAATTTTATTACCTGTCTTCGATAGTTCTTAAATGCCTGCAAGCAAGCAAAGCTAGAAATCTGTTTTTTTTTTTTTTTTTTTCCTCCTGCATATTAATCTTACTTCTCAGAAAAATAATTTTCATCAATTAGCTGATTGGACAAGATCTCCTCACGCTGGCAATTTGACATTACCTCCTAGTGAACAGCCTGTTTACATAACCATTTCCGTGCATTTCTGGTAGTCTAATGCGAATGTGAGCCAGTTTCACATACTAATGGCTTCCATGAATACAACTCTTTATTTGGACTATAGCTTTCAAGTATTATACCATATTTGTGTAAACAAACATCAAGGAAGCATTATCTTTTTTCCAATTTTCATTCTTCATTCTATTCCTTTTTTGAATTTTCCTCTACATTTCTAGTTTTATTAATATATCTAAATAATAAAAATGATTGTGAATTTCAGATATTTAAACTTAAACAGTTATACCACAAATTACAGAACTAGAACTCCTAATATTTATCTTCATACGCATTATAAAAATGAGAAATTATCCAATTAAAATTATTCTGCTCCTGAAAATATTTAATTAAAATATCAGTAAATTATCTTCTATCCCTTTTATTTCTCATTCTGAGTGTCTCCATTTACTATTTGGTTTTATGTTCTTGATTCTTCATGCACGGGGTAGGTTCTTTACCACAGTTAATAGATATATGTATAATACGTAGTAAACTAACCATTGCCAAAATAGTCATAATACTATAGCTCTTTTAATATAAATAAATCCTCGGTTGAAAGTTTCATAGTTTTTGGAGTTAATGTTGTATAATAATCACAATGCTGTAAATTAATTTCCTGATCTCAGTAAAAATAAATTTACCCATAATATTATATTTATTTAAATACATCCACGCGTAACTGTCAAACCATTACTGTAAACATGCTCTTATCGCTTACAATATTTATTAATTAAATGCCCAGACTCTTCTCAAATTGTTCAAATATTTATGCCATCAAATTGTAACTAAAAGCAGTAAGTAGTAGTAAACGGTATTTATCTTAATGTTCAAATGCCACGTTAGTCAAAGTAATAAAATAATTTGAAATATTTCAAGAAATAAACTTCTTCCTCCCCCAAAATTTCTAAATCCCTCAATTCTTATAACAGGAAATTAGAAGATACTCAAAATCAGACAAAATCGATAATATTAAGAAAAACTGCATGGTACACCTTTCTTAAGTATAAAACATTCTGTTCTGCTGATTTAGAAAATTTTCTGCGAAAACGTATCTGCTTAGTGCTAGATAGTCTTAAATTGGTATGATTAATCAAATATGCTACAAGAGGATAATCAAACATTTCCCCAAAGAGGAGTAAACTTTAGATTGATTTACATATTTTACACTATATTGTATGACGTCATATAAGTCTTAATGACAAAATTTGATATTATGGTTTAGGTTTTGCTTCGTAAAGCAGCCTGAGTTTGAATATCAGCATAAATTCCTTGGGAAAAATTAAAATTAGAAATTGAAGTTCGTGAAGCTATTATAAAGGCACTGAATTTGATACACATGTCTGTATAGAAAATGCATAAGCATCTGAAGAATATGTTAGGAAAGAGAGCTCCAAGAATTATTCTTTAGTAACCAAATTTGCAGAAGAATTTTGCCTTGGAAAAAATTTTTTAAAAATATTTGCCAAAATGAAAAGAATTAATGTTGGATAGGAAGGTATTATTCGGCATGTAGCAGAGTTATACGGGTTTTATTCTGTAACACTGAATCAGTTAAAAGAAATATATAATATTAAGGGAAGTCTTAGCTTGGCGGGTATCCTAGATGTTAACGGAAGCACCTAAACAGTTCACATGAGGATTTTGGTCTCACTTATCACAATGCTTCAACAGGATCCAGAAAATGTTTTCATACTTACAGGACCATTGATAATACATGAGTACACTACTTGGTGACAGTAAACAACAGCGCATGAGCTGAAGATATGTCTATTCTCTTGTAAGTAAGAAGTTTTGGGTATCAGCATCATTGCCAAAGTCACAGACAGTGTTTTTGTCCTAGTTGAACATGGTCAGTCCTTTTCCAATGTCATGGTCAGTGCTTCCTGAGATTCCAAAATGTGGTTGACAACTGATTGCGTTCAGCATGGATAAACATTCACTAAAGAGTACTTATCGTATCCTTAACACGCAAACCATACGAAGAATTTAATAACGCCTTCTTCAGTAGACAATTGGGAAAACTGAAGAAGAGGATTACTTATTGTCACAGTTATACGCATCATTTATTTCTGCTGAAGGCAAAACAGCTGTTGGCAGTCATTCCAATTGTTCAGGATACCAATTATTATCTCATTACCTATATTTAACTCAATAATGACTCAGCCTTTAAGTTTTGATTATTGATTCAAATTCGAACTGTATTTACCTCAGTTCTGAAGAGCCTGATTCTACAGTGGTTTTCATTCACTATTTCATCAATAGGTCACGTAGGATGTTTTAGCCACCGATTGATTTCATTATCATTTACAGTTATTTTTCTTTCGTTTTTTCATCAGTAAGTGGCCCACACTGTTTCACCCACCTATTGATTAAACTACCATTTTGCGCAACATTCTGGAACGCTCTTTAGTTTAACTGTGCCTCAGGTCATTATTTTTAATCTTTTAGAATTCTCTTGAATGAATTCGTTGCATCTTTGCATTATATATATATATACAGAAAGAGAGAGAGAGAGAGAAAATTAGTATTTGCTGCAAAATATAGTGAAGAACACTGTACAGTTATATGAAGAAGGCAGTCATGGCTTGTTGAACAGGCAATAACGGTCCTATTAAATCTAGTCTAGTCCTTTATTCTAGGCATATGACATTCACGAAACATACTTACCTAAACTGCCATAAGACGCGTGTTCTTGTTTTCTATAATTATTAGCTTGCTTCTCCTAATGTACACGGATTCATATCTGTAGTTACTATTTACCACTTATTTAGAGATGATCGGAAACTCTTATTCATCTTGGATGTATATATACATTTATATAAACATACATATATACAAACATACATATATACATTTAACGCAATAACATATAATCTCTACTGATGTAAGTGTGTGTATGCATGCATGCATCGTTTTCAAAAGTCACACATATATATAAGCATACATTTATTACACTTTACATTTATTATTAGGATCATTATGCAATAAATAATTAAATTTATCTTACTTGTATAAGTATATATGTATATAATTCTGGCTTTTGTCTTTATAAGAGTTTGTTTAGTTAATTGCACAAATTGTAATTACCTACAAATTTAACTACACAGATGTAATATAGTTCATTTTAGTTAACTATAGGTTAAATGAAGTCCGAAATTAAAGCATATATACATATCAATGTATTTTCAGCAAGTATGCCGTTAATTGCAATGAAGAACTGGTGAAAATGTTTCCCTAATGGAAGACATTTCCGAATTATTTGGTTCAAGTAACTAACAGCACCTGCCAAGTGGATCAACATTATTACCTCAAGTGGATCAACATTATTACCTCAAGTGGATCAACATTATTACCTCAAGTGGATCAACACTGTTACCTCATCGCTCCTTTGTAATATTAAAAATGGGTATCTTAAGTAACATTTTTCAAAGCATTCTATATTGTATACAACTCAAGAAATTAAAGTTATCTTAAAACTTGTGTTTCATTAGCGAATTCAATGAGCAAAAACGTTTATGTAAAATAATTCACTAATACTCTTAAATTCAATAAATCTAAATAAATATACCTTATCATAATGCATACGTGTCATTAATGAGAAAGCAAAGATTATCTTTTGGGATAAATATGTTCGTTTTATAATAATACATATAACGAAACAAATACTATGCATATATATATATAAGATATAGCAAAATACGATAGCTGCTTTAAGAATAATTGGCGACCCCAAAAATTAACGTTCTCGATTTAACGTTCTCGAGAAAAACGTAAGTTAATCCTTTCTTCCAAATTCGAGTCCAAATATGTTCTATGTATACTGTAATCAGGTCTCCTGTGGAAGGGGCGGTACGCTAGAGAGGTAGTGCATGGGGGCTATACCATTTTTGTCAATGGCGATGGCGTGGTGCCCCCTATACTTGTTCCTGTCCTGTCCTATTCTGCTTGAAAAAATAGAACTAAAACCCAAAATTAACCAATCACAGATTAGCTGTACTTTGTGCACCTATCTTGTATAAATAGCTAATAACTGAGTAGTTTCTCTCTTTAATGCCTACTTTCGTAAGTATTTACATATGCCTCCTCATGAAGCCGAATTTTCTTCGCCCACGGGTGTTGGTACTACTCTAGTCCATTTTACTTGAAAATATTGCCTAGTGCCACTTTAAATGCAATTCTTTGGCCGAAACCCTTAGTATTGTGACCAGAAAAAGTAAGTCATAGTTTCTCCTTTTGATGGTGCCAGCCCTGCTCTCAGCTAAGCCCTTAATGCGGACTGACTATCATTCATGTTTATTACACATTAAATTAATGCCCTTCGGGTGGAGATATATAAATATATATCCTTAAAATATTAAAACTAATGGGCACTGGTAAATAAAATTTAACGTACTGGTTAATACTTCCAGTAGTAGTAGACAACAAAAAAAGTAACGCTACGATCTACCAGTTATTCTTATTCGCCTCTCGCCAGATAGCGGACAGATTGTCACTCAGCCTCTGCTACTATCGCTACTAATTAAAATATTAATTTGCATATTAAAATATAGAGCACATGTGCACCTTCCTTAGTCTTCTACAGTTCGTATTAAGAAAATTCGTCATTCAAGAATAATATGTTTAACTATCAAGCTGTCGCTGAGCTTTAAAAAATTCCTCCGATCATCCATTATGCATAATTGTTAGTAATCTACGCAGCAGTTTTTTCGTCCATGACTAAACGTGAATTGTTTTCATCTTACACCAAAGGTACAAATATTACTTATATATGCTTAGTATATCTTCAGTGTATATAAAAAAGGGCAGAAAGAAATGTTGCATCAAATCGTATATTTATAAACTTAAAATATCTAAAGTTAAACGTAAATTAAAGTCGAAACAAGGCGATTCCTCAACAATATTAATAACTGCATCCTTGTAAAGGGGTTAAGCATAAAATCAAAGCATGCGATCTATAAAAAATGATCATAGTTAATGAAAATCGAAAAATTTAAAAAATGCAAAATATTGAGAAAAAAAAAGAGGAATTAATATTATATTTATTAAGTATAAAAAAAAAAGTAGAAATATCTCCTTTTATTGAAACTTAATTCAGAGCGCGCAGGGGAAAATAAAGTAGATCTTCATAAATTGTTGATTAATGAGGCTTAAAAACAGTTTCTTTCCTGGTAATTTGAGATAAAAAGCCGAAAAAAAGAAAGAAAAATTTCTTATACATAATAAAAAACTCATATAAAACCGAAAATGTCAATCTTAAATGTACCAGGATTTTCCCTACACGCCTTCGAAATACTTGGGAAAAAAGAATAAAACATAATATTATTTTTTCAAATTGACTACAAAAAAAAAACCAAAACATTACATATTTGTAAAATGACCATCGAAAAAAAAAAAATGATCTAAAAACATTATATGCAAATCCGAAATTCAAATTCAAATCTAAAAATAGATCGCAATATTCTATACTATTTGTATTTGCTATATCATTTCTCTAAAAATAATAATAATAATGGTGGCAGCATCCTTTTATTTGAAACGTTATACGACACCAGAATGAAACGGACTCAAATTGAGAAATGTGGCTAATATATTTAATTGGTTCATAATGAGAACTCAACCATACAATGAGTTTATTTTTGCTGCATGTGGCAAAATTCCAAGAATGCATTTAATGCTTATAAATGGAATCTGTTTTCTCAGTCACATACGTGTTCTGAATACCAAATCTGAGAAGTTTAAATAATCTCATAATATATATTTTTCACATAAATTCTTTCAAGCTGAGATGTCACGTCTTCGCATTGCGTGACATCAATTATTTCAATTCAACAGCTAAATCGCAAAATATTTAAAAACAGCATATCTTTAGAATTTCCGGCAGACAGTCTCGCGTCCTAAAAATAAAGATATTTTATTCCGTTCAGTGTTACCCCTGCTCGCTGTCAAATCGTTGAGTTTGTTAATCAAAAATTCATTAAAGTTTTACAAAATTTGAAATATAAAATTAAAAACTCAGGGTTCCAAGTGCGCATGTTCAAGTGGAGGACAATGTTATTCAAAATTTAATAGCTCTATTTACCGTTGTTTTTTCACAATGAGAGGAACATATGCATAAAGTTTCTTCATTATTTAATTTCTTTAAAGATAATACAGGGAGATAATATTTGGTGGCAACAATTTGAAAAGGGATTTATCATTTATAGTTGACGATGCAAAATCTCGTTTCGAGACTATAATGGCCATTCGGGCTAACGCCCTTTTGGACTAATAAAATATTAAGAAAACAGTCAATGATATTATTAATTTTTATTTATTTGATGCAGTAGGCTATTAAAGGTAAGTAAGGTAATCAGTAGGTAAAGTAAATAAGGAAACGCTATTTCCGTAAGAGAAGAGAAGCCTTAGTCAAGGCCTTTCTGAGGGAAACTGCCTCCTGTTTAAACTATGCATAAAGAAAATCAATATCATGTGATCATCTTATTCGACAAGATCCTGGGCAAATAATAATTTTTATCGGTTTTATACATATGGTTAAATTATATCCATTTATCATTATGGTATAATGTAGTTGCTATGCATTCAATATAAATTACGTAACATAGTAGCTGAATTTATTAAAAATGAACTCTAAGTGTTATTCTGTTCGAAAATATTAACACTGTAAATATTAACACCAATCGAAAATATTAACAACAATGACACATTGGGATTTTAAATTCAGAGATAACGTTTTAAAGATTATTACGAATTTTAATGCTCTTGACATAAATCAGCACTGCATTTCACCTTTTAATTCTGCTTCAATAATCAATAATTAACGCATCTGAAAACACATCAGTCCACTGCACACATCAGTCTTTTCATGATTACTGGTATTCCAGAATAAAACTAATTTGTTAGTAATTATAAGCGGTTCCTCCACGTCTTTAATATAATGGTATATTCTCCCTTTTCTACATTTGTTGGATATTTTCCCATGTATTCGAGTTTTGAAAAATAAAACAAAATGGAAAATAATAACAAAAAAATATCTGAAAAGTTTTCAGATTTTATATCACGGGCAAAGGGAGGTTTTTTTAACGTTTTGTGTGTTACCTTTATTTATTTAAAATATCATTGTACTTCGCACACTTAAACATAAAATAACACAATAATAGCCGACCAAATACTAAGTAGAAGTCAACAAACTCAGCGTTATATTTCACAGAACGCTGATTTTGTTGTTTGACTTCTTAAATTAGTATAAAATGCAGTTCAACAGAAATATCGCAAAATAATTTGAAAAGAGCAATCTTAGAATTCCCGATACACAGTCTCGGCGTTGGAATTTTTTTTTTTCTTTTCGTGCAGGTTGCCATTGCTCTCTTTGAAATCGCTGACTTTGTTAATAAAATAATTCGTTAAAGTTTTATAAAATATTAAATCTATATATATATATAAAGAAGACTCTGTCTGTGTGTGTCTTTATTTCATGCTTGAATAGAACCAGAGCTACGAAATTTAGTACATAGGTGCATCTAGACAAGAACCAATGCACCTGGAAGCAATGTTTTCAAAATTCGAATGAGATTTTTTTTTAATTGCTATTTTTCTCTCTCTCATTATATCAGCCAAAGTGGCACGCAACCATTGTGGCCTGATACATCACTGTTGCCATTGTTGCTGATATCAGCACTGTTGCCACTCGGAAAAATGAGGGCTATAATTCTGTGCAGTTTTCAAATTTAATGTTACTCTTAGATATCAGACGTTTCAGATTTCTTAGATGTCAGAGGAGACAACGGGAAGTTGATTAATTTATTCATTAGGATAATTAATATTAGGGATATTGCTTATCTCATTGTATATTTTATATGCAATAATTTTTTATTGAAATGTTTTTGATAAAGTTGTTCCGCAGAGTAAAATTCTGTGAAAATTTTAAATTTAATGTTTGGTGTTCCCTTTAGGCATTTTTCCGGTGCATTTAAAAGCAGACGAAGTCTGTCCGCGTAGCGGCTATTAGATAATAAAACAAATTCGAAATTTGGGCATCTGGATGCCCATATTCGGGTGGAGGATTATGTTATTCAAAATTTGATGGCTCTAAGTACCGTTGTTTTATCAGAGTGCGAGAAATATATATACATTTATGCAGACTCTTCATTATTAATTTCTTTAAATATAATACCGGGCAATAATATTTGATGGCAACAATTTGAAAAGTGATGCAGCCTTTTTCAAAGCATAATGCCGAAACGGAAAATGCCAGTTTTCAACGAAAAATGCCAAAACGGAATTAATAACCCTTCTATGCTAATGCCCTTAGGGCTAACAATAATTTGAAAAGGATGACTTATTTATATTTGATTTTACAAAATAAATTCAGGAATTTCACAGAAAAAAAAAATAGAAAGATGTATAAGATTATTTAAATTTTACATAAAAAATGCGATGACTGTTAAAATTTGCGTATTATCACAACACGTATTTAATCCTCCGAACAACGGCGTTTTTAAAAGGAAAAGTGTTAATAATCGCAAATGTTAAGCTAATGAGTAAATATAACATGTTTAAAAACTGTCGGTTTTCATAATCTGAAATCCTGGATTTCATTTTAATGGGAATAAAATATTTTCTATTCATATTCTTTAAAATCAATGGCCAAATAACTTACAGAATAATATCGTAAAACAAATTATGGCTGCACTTAAATTATGACTCAAAATTGTTAATATGTTCATTTGTTTTGTTTAAAACTATTTATTGCATTTTAAATGGGACTAAATGTGGCAATTCTCCATCTATACATTAATGATTTCTTCTGTGACGTAAATGCATTGTTTGAAAATAGATTATTTAACCATAACCAAGCAAAAGTTGCTTTTTACAATGTAATGATTTATGATTTATTTCTTCAAAAACGCAAATAAAGAATTTAAACTCTGTGTCCAAGTTGTATAAAAAGCCAATGCATTTCTGTTACTCTTCATCCGTCAATTTCAAGCTTCTCTCATTTTCAAAAGCAAGATAAGAAAGAACCAGTTTTTAGTTTTTAGGAGAAGTATCAGAGATATTTTAGTGTTGCTGTCGTATTACTATAGTCAGGGTAAAAGTTTTGTATTTCTGACTGAGTGTTCATAGTGTTTTTCCTAATGGGATTCAATAACAGTAACGTTCTATTTACCTTATGAAATAATATTTATTTAAATTTCACCTACATGTTTCCTGTTTGAATCTATATTGATCAAACGATTATTAATATATTAATTTCCTGTTTGAATCTATATTAATTACTTACTATTCTAAAAATAATTCTTTTAAATACGTATAGATAAATCATACAATATTTTATTAATTTCCGTAAATGCTGTTTTATGTTTCTTAAGGTAATAAGATGCTTTTTAAAAGTATTGAAACGTTGACTATTACGTAACATTTTACGGCTGACACTATATGGGATACAATGAACGTTAAGTACCAATTTATAAGATGTTCATTTCAAATGCACTTAGAGGTTATTAGAACTCCTGATACATGAATGCGCACAAATAATCTGTTTAAAAAACATTTTGCTTTTCATATTTTTCTTAGAGCCAACAGTTAATTGGTACAATTTTCAGAATCCCAAGCCTTTGGAAACATGATATGATTTTTGTACATTAAATAATATTAAAGTAATATTTAATTTGAATCCAGTTAAATTATACCAGTGCTTTTTCCTCTATAAAATTATATTTTTAATGATTTTATTATTCATTTAAACAGATTAAATTTTAAATTCTCTTTAATTCCTATTTCCAAGTTCAAGGTTTGGGAAAATGGAAAGTTAACATTTCACACAATAGCTATGCAAATTACGTACTATTGAGTCAGTTGAGTTCTGTAAATTTTATATTGGTTATTATTTGAGCTGGTTTCTATGCATTTGCTTTGGAAATATCTCTAACGCCTGAAGAAACGATGTAATATCTCTTATCGTGGACTTCAATTGATTGATAAAGAAGTGTTATAGAGAGTTAAAGCTTTGCTCCGACAGTCAGATTAGCATTAATTCATTTGTAAGTCTTATAATCAAATCGCAAAGTAAATTCCAGGCCATAACATCCGGTTCTTATTTCATCATATACAACTGTTAAATTAATTCTGAAAGCTTAGAGCTTCAATAAATATGTAATTTGTAGCTTTAATTTGACTTATATCCATTAGTTGCGAAATATCAATTTGTTGGTCTAGACTTCGAAATCTGATCAGTTCACAACATAGTATTGATAAATGTTCTTCCCTTTAATAAATGAGAGATTTTTTTCTTAAAAATCAGTTAATAAAAAATTAATAGCTAATTCCTTCAGCAAGCTACATTTTTACCATAAAATAAGCAGCAATAACATGTTTTAAGCACTGCATATTATTAGACCGCTTTTCTTCAAGTTTAATTCTTCATTATTGGTTTTGTATAGCTTTAGATTGCTTTTCGTTTTAAGATTTTGTCGTTATAAAGACACAACGAGTTTCGAAAGAGATTTTTGATAACATAGTTACGTTACGATCTGTATGATACAATGCGATTCAAAAATCCCGATATCTCTCTGTAAATATTTACTCTAACAGGGAAAATATTTGCGGATACTGCTGCTTGGAATACATGTGTTAGACCTTTCGTAGAAAGCCCATATGCATTACAGGCAAGCTTCAAATACAATGCGCGTAACGTAGAAGGAAATTTCAGCTTGTACCAGAAACTAGGTTCGTTAGACAGACTCAGAGCTTGCTCTCGCTTTAGTTCAAAGCTTTCTTGTACACTGACTACCAATAAGTATTTGGACACCTGTGATAAAAAGAAAAACTAACTTTGATCAAAATAATAGTTGGGTAGAGCTCCAGAGAGGTAATTACAGCGTGGACCCTCCGGGGCATTACTTTCCACAAGTCTTTTATGGACAGTTAGTGGTAATTTTCTTCCACTCGATTGGAGAAGACATTGAAGTTCCTTCACGATTTTGCAGGTAGTGCAACCCCTGGACTTCGGCGATGCAACTCGTCCAAGAGGTTCTCGATAGGGTTCAGGTTGAACTTGAGCAGGACCAGTCCATTCGATGAACTCCATTGGCACCATACCAAGCTAGGTTAACGCCGGCGACGACACATGACAAAACTGGCATTGGTAGTCCTGAAGTAACAGGGGGGTCCAACCCGGTAAACTGCCACAACGTAGGAAGCACATTTCATCCAAAATAGTGCAGAGGCACGAAGTTGAGCTACCATGAATGTGGACCAAGGGTCCCATCCCTCCCCATCCCATACCAGCAGAAACAACCCCAGACCCTTAATTCACCTCCGCCGAACTGATGTTTGGCACAATGAGTCTGGCAGGACAGGTTTCTCCAGGTAGCCGCCAAAACCCAGGACCCTGCCCATCCGAAAGGTAAAGGGTTTAAAACCTTGATTGTCACTCCAAAGAAGAAGAAAACCGTTTCCACCTGATCTACAGTCCAATTCGATGTGCTTTGGACCACATTAACCGAGCAGCAGCGCGGTTTGGACTGTGTGATCAAAGGCTATGGGCAGACGCAGCGCGCGACCATGAAAAACCAAGCAGAGGATTCCTTACGGATGGTATTCATTTGAAACAATACTCCCGGATTGCCGGTTTTTGAAAACTCCTCGCGGTTGAGGGCACTCGGTTGGGTTGCGGTTCTTCCGAATTCTCTGGAAAAGCTCGTCGGTCTCCTTCCCAGTTTCGCTATCTGCGAGACTCGGGCACATTCCGACAATCACCGCTCAACTTCACAATTTTTAATCACCATAGGGGGGGGGGGGGGGCCACTGTCGATTTTGGGTAAACCCTTCAGATCGTAGATATGTCCCTTAAGGATCGGCCAATTTGTGGTTACCCGATGAATTATACCTTTCTCGAAATCAGAGAGCCTCCGAACTGAGAAGGCATCTTGCATGCGACTAAGCGATGCTGCTTTCCTACACGATATATAACGGTGGCGTGCGTGACGACATTAGGACGCAGATAATCGTCACTGAAGGTGTTCCAAATACGTCATTGGTAGTTACAGTGTATTAGGGAATATTAGAAGAAACAACAATCAGGATGGCCATGAGTTTCTACACAACACAGTATTGATAAATTTTGAATAATTAATTCTGAACCTCTTAATTCTGAATACCAAGTAAACATTTACTTGGTATTCAGAATTAAGAGAATTTTCACATTTATTCAATTACGTCCAGAAATAAGGAAGAAATATCAATGAAATTTGATATAGACCTAGATTGATATAACACAAAAAATATGCCATACAATAATCATAGTGCGCACTAGACATGAGCAAAATCGTTCTGTTATGAGTTCATATCATCTCTCACTGAACTGCATTTTAAAAAAAAAATTTTGAAAATTTTATGGCTCACTTTACTAAAATTAACCTTGATGAAAGCTATCAGGAATGAGGAGTAAATCAAGAGTGGTTAGAGAAAACTGCAGCAGAAATCGTAAGCAATCGAACCAGTAGTGAAATCGGGAAAGATCAGCCATGCTGGGGCGAAGAGCGAAAAGAATCGAAGAAGCAGAACAATCGAAAGAATTGTCCCAATCAAACGCTAACGAACTGATTTCTTTATACTAACTGCAGTATTGTTATTTCTTAGAAATAGCAATAAAATTCTATAATGAAAAAAATTCTCAATGCTCTGAAATAGTATAAGTTAAATTCACTTTTAATATGAATGAATAAACATTCTTTTTTCCCCTAAAATGAGAATCAAACTTTCAGGTGGCAAGCTGCCAACAACAACTTCGCTCTCTTTTGGCGTTCGCTCGCTCAGTAAAATGAATAAGTTCGTGAACGAATAGCTATCTCTATTCCTGGTATACTTTTAACAAGAGCTCTTTCTAAACTACAAAACAGCCACCGTTCCGTTTTCTAGAATCAACTGTTCATTCGCTCACTAAAGTGAAGTGGTTCTTTGAATCAGTTCTAGCAAGGATCGTCCAAATCTAGAACACACTCATGATCGTGGTTTATGTTTAAATGCTATTAAGAAAAATTTGAATATAGGTAGACTTAAAATACTTATATTATAAAATGCATTCTGGCCACTACAGTTACACGCAATTTATTAAATTTGAAACTGAAACATTAACTACAATCTGCAACAATTTATTTCTGATTGTTTACAAGCACCTTAAGTGTATGTATTCACAACATTGATATTCAAAGAAATTAATACAGTAAATAATTATTTCAGGTGGTTTCAAGCAAAGAGTGCAACACAGATATGGACTGTTCAGAGAAGCAGTGCTGTCTGGAAAAAGATGGAGCAAGAAAATGTTCAGCTTTAGCTAAAAAAGGTAAGATTTAAATATAATCCTTAATTTTAATGTATATGAATTATTTAAGGATTATAATTATCCATTTTTATTTTCTATAAATATGTCTCTTTTGCTAATTATTAACAACATAATTCAAACATTCATTGTGGTAATCTATAAAACTAGAGCGGCACAACTTGGGCAAAAGATTTTCTTTTTCCTGATTTGAAATCATTATACAAATCATGACGAAACATTTTTTCTCTCCTTGAAAGTCATTTTTGCGCCCATTAAATGCTTCAAGCAGACAAGCTTTATAAAAATTGATGCGATCGAAAGGAATAAAGAATTTGAGAATGATGAAAATGTGTTTTTTGCAGTTTTCAGTTATATTAATTTAAACTCATTCGGGACTGCTGATAACTCCAGCTACTTAGTGAAGAAAATTGTAACGAAGTAAATTTACTTATGAGATGATATTCTTGAAACCGAATGAATCATAGCATATTTTTTTTTTAAAAAAAAGATTATACAGCGTATTTAAACAATACTGCGCCATCAAATACTATATTAGAAAATCAAATAATTGACCGACATAATAAAATATGTGATGGTGGTTATTGATGACAACAGAAACATATATATTGAACATATTTCTAACCGCGCCAGTTGCCGAAGCTGCATGAATAGGCATATGTATCTCTTAAATACAGTATTTTATAAATTGCAGTATATTATAGTATAATGAACAGTTTCTCACTATAGTATATTTCGTATATTTTTTTCGCACTATAATACAAAAAATTAAATAAACCACGTTAAAGATATTTTTATTAATTATTTATGTAATTTTAGTATTGTCTGATGATACACTTGTTCTATTCGTTTGATCTGATGAACCTAGATTTAATTTTTTGGTATTCCAGCAAAAGGTGATATTTGCAGGATCGTTACTAACAACAGATGGCTTCCTTTTACTTGCCTGTAATTATGAGTATGAATCCTATGATACACTAAACTCAAGAGTAAATTTTGTTGAACCTGCTGTAGTACCAATACTCATATTATATAATCTTTATAAGGTCGTCTTAAAAACACTAATAGGGAATGTGTGTGGAACAATACCCACTATGCTGCTTCGTCAACTTACTGAATTGTAATTGAGGATCTGTTAATAATGAGAGTAAATTTCTAATTATGATGATTGATATCAGGAAAATGTTTGAGTGAATGAAAAGTAGGGATGGCTATCAGTGTTGCTTTGACTGTTAATAAATGTGAAATAGGATTGCTTACAACTGCGAGATGCAATATACGATCGCTTGAACTGCATTTTCATTGCGCTTAAAGTACAATGAAGACCAAAAAAAGGTATGATAGGTCCTCTTCAGGGACACTTACTTCTGTGCATACTTTTGGTATGTTATATAAATTAATAAAATAATGTGGTAATGTAATAATAGTAAGTACCGTATTTTTTATTTATTATATATTTATGCACTGTTGCTTTTCGTGTAATTTAGTACGGTAATACCATCAGTTTCTTTGCTTTGTTATCATGGTTCATGGGTGGTAAATCATCTATTGAGAGAGTACTAGGTTTCTGAAAAACATTAAATGATGATAAATATTTTCATTTTTAGGTGCACAGTGCACTGAGCCAGAAATGGAATTGCATCCTGATCACTGCCATTGTAAAAGTGGCCTTACTTGCTCGGAAAGTGGTGGAATGGTAAGGAAAGAAAAATGATAATTTTACTATTACTGGACTTGTTTTGTTAACAGAATCCAAGGAAAATCCAAACGAACCTTAATGACTTCGCATAGTATAGACCCATGCAACACAAGTTAAATCTATCTTTAATGACTGGGTATGCGCGTTCAACTAAGACAGCGAGGCAGAAAATTGTGCTACATACAAATCTCTTCCGTACCTATTTTTTATGAATTGATACAAATAGTACAAAAACGCACAATAATTACTAGTAACACGACATAAAATGTTACTTGGTCACACGTTCAGGTGTGGGGTTAATCATGTCCTTGCCCTCTCAGGTGATTGAGGTATTGAGTAACAGCACTTTCGGCACACTAGGTGATTAGCACTATTAGCGCAATGTCAAATATATTTATATTGTAAACTGTCCTATGGCCTTATTTAAATAATTAAAAATAGAATATTTTTACCATTCTCAGTTATTATAAATACACTATTAAAACTACGTGCTTTTGCAAGCATAGTCATAGAACTTGTCACTGTATTGTAATTCTTGAACAGTATAATTTTCTAGAAACAGAATGAAAAGTAAATTTATCTTGATTTAAATATGCCCTTAAATAAGATTTCATAAATTTCACCTTAAGCAGCTTTTAAACTTCTCTGTGTCGGGAATACTGATATAGTAACTATCAAAACGTTTTTGAGGCGACGTGCTAGGATACGTGTGTTCTAAGGATTATATACCAATGTAGAAAGCAAGTTCCTTGGTGCTTTTTCTCACTATCGATATGTGATTCTGTAATGCGTACAATTTTATATTTATCCTTTCAAAGCATTAATACTAAACTAATGGTTGCTTAATAAATATATACTTAGCTGTTATTTTCCTTCAATCAGTTCAACTTTTTTCAGTTTTCCCCAATCAATTCCTGGATAATTTTTAAAGATCATAAAACGCCAAACTATTCAGATTATTGCTTCATTAAAGAAACTGCTTTTCTGAATCAAATGAAGTTTCATCCAAGTACTTACTACAGAATATTCGTTTCATTTTTCGAATTCTATTGGATATGAAAATTAATTCAACGTCTATAATTTCTACTAATTTTTTGAACATAAACCACAGTGTATCTAAATGCATTTTATGACTATAAGAGCTCAAGAACTTTTGCACATAATTTGAAACAGATTAACGCTTATTATATTGCACATCAGGAGGTTCAAATATTCGCTTACATAATTGTCATATTTAACACAAAACAATATTTTCATACTATATTCCAGTCACTGCATTGGGATAGTGTTGTTGTCTGCTGGTGCCTTCCGAAAATTTGCAGCCTAGGCTGTTGCTTATATGGTAGTTGCTTGAATGTACCTGAGTGTTAAAAGTACACAAAACATAGCCTCAAGTGTCACTCGAATAATCTAATATTTATATCTGCAAACTGACGAGATAATCTTATAATGCCATCTGCTTGTAATAGCGAAGTGAGCTGGAATTCGATTAGCCCATTGGAAGTGGATCAGAAGAAAAAACACTACATATGCACAGTAAAACTTTTCCTGGCATTACGATCATTTACCATTAATTATTCTGCTATTGAACATTATTATTCTGCTACGAACATGTCATTAGAAGCCTTAAGATAATCTGAAGATTCCCATAATGCAAGTGCTGCATTTTATAGCACTAGTGTCTAGTAAAATCTCCGATCTAGTATGTTCAGAAGTTAGAGGAGTTATAAGGAATCGTTATCGTAATCCCCCTTACGGAATAAAGAGGTTGATATGGCTTCTGTCGAACTATTGCAGGCTACTCTCCAAACAGCTTTTAACAGGGCGAAACACAAGGAATTATGTGCATCCTGCTTTGTGTGCTTTCGTGCTGTAACGACTTAGCAATTTTTGATGACAAAAGGAAAAACTGTGCTTCGAATCTTAGCGAGGACGCAATTGATTTCTCACGTACCTGGTTTTAAAAGAAAAGAGAGAAACACTTCTAAGAATCGTTTCAGAATTAATCTGTAGACAATTGTTTGTTTAATTGAAGGAAGACTGTCTAACCGAAGAGATTCATTCGTTGAAGATGTTTTTCGGAAAAATTACAAGGGCAAAACCAGGAAAACTCTCCCTAGTTTGCCGGAATTCAAAACCCACATCGGTCAATGTTAAGCAGTCTGGGCCTTCAAGATATTAGTCATAAAAGTTATATAACTGAATACATATTTTCAAATGCTACTCTAAACATGAGGAAACGGAACAAGGCAAGAGGATTATACAGGTGGTACAAATTTTAAACAAGGTTCCTGTGTCCATCATTCATCTTAGAAGTATCAACAAATGTTATAGAACGTCGTCTATAGTCATCTTGTCTTGCAGAAATTCACTCTGCAGTCTATTTATATCTAGTGCCTGTATAATTGGTAACTGGTGTATGTTACTGCTTGTCGATGTAAGTTAACAGTAATTGCATGATGCTATATTACTTATGAAATTTATTCTATTTCACTTCGCTGCAGATTTAGATATGATAACTTCCTAATTTTTTGCTAGAGGAGGCTGAAATTGCTTTTATTCAGCCCACTTTATTAAAGACACACCTCACGTGTACATTGTGGAATAATTCTTTTCTAAATTAAAAAAAAAAAATGTCTTCATGGACCTTTTTCTTGAATTCTAGATATTCATAGTATCTAAATGGCAGCACTTTCTAAACCCGTGCTGGTATTTTAATTTTTAAAAGATGTGAATTATTTCCTGCTAATGGTGTATGCTATTGCTTGTTATTTATTTTAGTTACAGTATGAGAATTTCTAAGTCTCTTTTTCACTCAAAGGGAATAATTTCCCTAATTATTGTTTATTTGTTAATCTTGACCTTGAATGTTTTTGCTGATTATACTGTTAAAATTCAAAATCTACTTGGAAATCTCTAAGCCATTATACAACATAAATTATTGAAATTTTAAGCAAATCGGGTAGTAATTCAAATTATTAGTGTGACTTAAATGGTTCTTAATATGTAGTCGAAAAATATTGTGGGGGCACGATGAATAAGACGTAAGAAATGACTACTCTCTCAATAAAATTGTGGTTATAGCTCAAATTATTTATTGTTCAAAACCTAAATACTTTGCGTTTGCACAAGAGTTCAGATACGTAACAAATAGATAAAAATAATATTTTCTTCTGTACTGTAAAATCTGTCGTGCTTATAATTTTTAGCTTATGCTTTAACTAAAACTTCCTTATTCAGTAACATTTAACCTATAATTATTCCTATTAATATTTATTAACATGTATTATTCCTTAACTTATGTTATTATATAATAGGGTCTTATCAATTTTAATGCAAAAATTGGAAGATATTTATTCACATTCACATAAGCTCATTTGAAAGAGAGAAGGGTAAATATGTACATTTAACCTAAGGATTAGAAACCTGGATAGTGGAATCAGGATATTCTGATGCGTAAAAAATCTAGTTAAAATTTCAGTTGTCTATTTCAACAGTTCTAATGAACAATCTGAATTAAAAAATAGGTATAAAATTTAAATTAGATGTTCATTAAATAATGATATCTATGAAGTAATTCAAACAAATATTAGCTTTTCAGTATTAAAATATATCAGTAGTACTTTTAAAATATCATATTTCAATATTATATTTTCTTTTAGTAGTAGAAGTAAATTTAACATTTGTCAAGCTTTAAAACTTGACATTTGGCTAGCCTATTCCCTCTAGAAAGCTTAATATGATTGTGCATATGAGTTAACAGGAAAAATCAAAGAAGAATAAGCACTTCTTTCCAAATTTAACAACTTGTTTTCATCGATTTCTTAGACTAAAAATTACAAAATTTTAATATTAATAGAAAAATTCATGATACATTAGAAAAAAACTTTGTTTATGAAATAAGTAATCATTCTGTATTTTTATAAACTCCAAGTTGGATAATAGAAAATATGATTTTAAGTTGTATTACAGAATTAACAATCTTTACCTGCAATATCGAGGAAAAAACTGCAGTAGCTACTCAACGACCTGTTCTGATCAATTTTTCTTCTGCATTGTGGGTACGGTTATGACAATTGATCTCGGGTAGATTGTTCCAGGTTTGAATTCGGTGAATGGATTAGTTGCATGACTAATTTCTTTGTTTTCTCTAAACATATTTTGCAGTTCCCCCATATGAAGCATATATAAAAATCAGTTTTCTTTAGGAAATCCTCCTCGAATACATACCTACTGTTGAGCAGATAGTTCTTTCGTAATATGCCGAATTCGACTAAACAAGCAAGCAGACTTTTATATTTCCACTCGAATCTCCAAGCCATATCTAAAACATATGGCAGAAATAAACGAATTAGAGATATAATAAATATTTTGTTCTTCCGAAGTTCTACAATTAATAAAAAAAGAATTATAAATGTATTAAATCTCTTTAACAAATAATAATTTATTTTTATCTTTTTTTTATACATTTTTCTATTTGCAGCTGAAATGCATGAAAATGTGAAGAAAAAAATCTTGGAAAAAGAATGCATATTCTTTATGTGTCACACTGTTATTCTACAGAAAAGTTTCTTTATGAAAATCAAACTGTATTTTCAAAATGAAATAAAGTCTGTCTAAAGTTGCATGAGTCATTATGTTTCTCGAGTCTTTAATTCATTCAGTTTCTTTGTTAACAGATTTCAAATACGCTAAATTAAAAACGGATCTTCAAGTAAGTGAGTAAAATATATATTCACCTGATTCCTGATTATATATTATATTTGCTTATCTTGATATCAACAACGAAATAATGCAATTTGGTTTAGGCTTATGTTTAAGATTAACCTTCAATTTTTTAACTATGCCGCCTGCTTGTCAGTTTGCATCAACGTTTGGTCAAAGGCTATGAATATAAGATAAAATTTAATTTAAAACTAATTGTTAATAAAACGGAAAGCAAAGTTATCCCAATTTTATGTATGTAAAATACTGTGAAAATTATTTACATGAAAAGGAGTTAAAACTAGCTACGGAAAATGCTTATTTAATAAGAAATGCTAGCACCCCTAATAACAGTATAGGAAAACTCTACTGTAGTCACTGTTTACTATGTAAAACTATACTATGTAATACTATGTAAAGTACTATTTCTTATGCTCTTACTCTGTACGGACGGAACCAAAGGAGGCGAAAGCAGAAAAGGGAAGTAACCGTTTAATCACTTTTGAGCAAGCATGCCGGAGCGAAGTGGTCAATGCAGTCTGAATAGTAAGAGACAAGAGGTTTAAACCTCCTTGGTCAGATCTCTCGGTATCATCTTGGTAAATGAGAGCCGCACATTGAAAGATCTGAGTCTGGACGTCAAATATCTTAGAGGGCAAGGTTATGATGGCGCTCGTGCCATCATAACGAGCGGGTTATGAGCGGGGCGTTTAAAGGGACGCAAGCAGGTATTGCTGAGCATCAACGTAAAGCCATTTATGTGCATTGTATGTCCCACTGCTTAAATCTTGCAATCTCGGGATCTTGCCAAGTCCATCCCGAATTGTTTTGGAATAATTGAAAAGACATGTTCATTCCTTCACACAGTAAAGAGACAAGAAGTTTATTAACGAAGATTGATGAATTTTGCACAGAACCAAAAAAGGCTGCATTTAAAGAAATTGTACCCCTTGTTTTGTCCTACAAGATGGGTGGAGAGGCATGTTCCTGTAATGATTTTCATTGGACTTCTGTTTGCTATGGGCAAAAGCTTGGATGAAATTAGTCGTTGGACTGGCCGTAACGCGTCGACTGGTGCCACTGGATTAATCAACAACTCCATCCGCACTGTGAAATTTACAGTATCCTTCTTCATAAATAAATTCGTATTTAGTATCAACATTTTATTAAGCAAATATCTACAAAAAGAAGACTTGGATTTCTGCGTCTACAAAAGAAGACTTGGACTGCGGCTGTAAAACAAGCCCAAATGCTTCAAGATCAGTTGTTGGACATCACAAATGATCATTTTGAGACATTTTTTTTCTAAAGAAAGAGCAGTATGCGGGAAACATGAGTTGCCAGTCATTGTTCCGAGGATAAATAAATTATAAGTCGATCGTCCGTAGATATTACTGACCCCAAATCGTATTACCGTATTTCTATCTTTATCCCATTTTTGGATACCATGATTACATAAATTCAGAATGGGATTTTAGCTCATAAAGATATTCTATCTTCCTTTTCCTGCTTGGAACCTGGTTAAGAAAACATCAACAATTTCGATATATTACGATTTACGATGATGACCTTCTTGAAAATGATGCCTTCATCACCACTGAGCAAGTATGAATATTTGCAATGAAAAAGACAAATGAGAGAATTTCCAGACCCCAAACTATCGGCTATCGAAATGTTAAATAGATGAGAAAAAGAGATGTTTCCCAACATACACCAAGTTTTTTTTAAAATGTTGCGGTAATACCAGTGACAAAAGCAACTCTAGAGAGGAGCTACAGTCCCTTAAGAAAACTGAAGACGTATTTGAGGAATACAACAGCGAGAAATGTAGACTTACCGCTCTGACACTTATAAATATATATTATAATATAGACATAAATGTTAATTAAGTGCTCAATACGTCAGGCCGAAAGGACGTGACGTATTTGAATATTATCTTATAATTTGCTGTCATTTTCTAACATATTTAGTTTGATGTTTAATGTTAATGCATTTTGTTGTAATAAAATAAACAAAATTTGATACTATTTTATCTATATATCATAATCATTGTTAAGTCTAAGATAAACATGACTTAGACGGTTTTTAAGTTTTCTTAAGCACCTAATGCATGAATTTATGATAACAGAAAATTTATGAAATAGATTAAGGGAACACCTATGTTTACTCCAGTATAATTTCGAGACGTCAACACGATATAAAATTATTAGTCGTTCTAGCCTGTTTCTCAAGTCTAAATGTGTGCTATGAAAATGTAAGAAACGGCATATATTTGGAAATAAAGAAACAGATTAACAGATTTTTAATGAAATCTATCCTTTCCTCTCTGTTACAGAAGTTCAGTTCTTTACAATCTAAAATTCAGAACTTTTCGGTTGAAAATAACTTATTTTTAACTGCTTTCAAACTGCAGTTGACGGACAAGTATTCGTAAAGAAACTCATCTTTCTTTTACATGCTCATTTCATGTAATTTAAAAGTATGGACCTTTAAATATGAGAACTACATATATAATGAACATTTTTTAAACTAGCAAAATCTCTACCCCACAGTCACTGAGTGTCAGATAGATACTTTAGCTGATACAGTAAAAACAACTAAATAAGATTAGGAGAAAGGGTTGACGACTCTTTGCAGATAATTTCGTTACGTCATTACAGCTGAAAGAAAAATTTGAAAGAGAGCAAAATGTTCTACTTTAGTCATAAACAAATTTGACGAGAAAAACATCTCTGGTGAAAAAAGGTAATGCAGATAAATAACTCCTAGCGAAGATTTCGAAATCTTCATTTCCTGTAAATCAAAGCAAAGGATTTAAAAAAATATGTATGCTAACATTCTTCTCTGTTAAACAAAGTGTACACTTACTGATAAGGTCAGCCTCCATTTAGGGGAAAAAAAGAGTTATAGGTACAACCCATTTTTTTTTTTTTTTCTCTCTCTCTCTCTCTACAAAGGTTAACTGAGAAGGAATAAGTGGTCAACTGACAAATTTCTTTAACACAAAACAACGTTAACGCAATGTTGTTCGTTAACACACAATATTTTTCAATGACTAACATAAAATGCATCTCATTTTAACATTTGTATTACAAGTATATTAAAGAAACCACTACATATATGTAAAATTAAAAAATCTGATGCGAACACCGCATGACTTCCTTGTATGTCATATTAAGTTATACACATTCTTGCTGCACTTCATTTAAATTTATTTCCTTGAATTATTCTAAATTAACCGATCCCTCAAGGCAAGTTGAAAATGACATCAAAAATTGCAAATTTCAAAATTAAATATCCCTGTCAATTTTTGTCTTACGAGAGTAAGACTTCTTGTAATTTTATGTTTTTTATAACGAGTATAAAACTTTCCCCAATTATAAACACAGGAACTGAGAGGCCGGAATAAAAGTAAGGTTATGTTATTTGTCCAAAGTTATTTTTTCTAAATTTGACATTGACAAAACATGAATATTTTCGTCATTTAGAACACTAATGTTCTAATTATATGACTATGACCAACGATCGCGAAAATAAAGGCCAGGCAAGGACTTTTAAATCGTTGGGGGGCTGGATGTGAGTATATATATGACGATGTTAAGACTATCTGATAAATTATATTTCAGACGGGAAATTAAGTTACAGAGGTTTTGAGCAGGGCCGATCCTAGTAGGTGTGTAGCTCGTGCACCGCACGCGTGGGGCCAAAACAAGGGGCTATTGCAAGATGCATATAGTTATATCAATCTAGCAAAATATTTTACGAATTTCTCAAAGTAAAACTTATAAAAAGTCAAATAAATATGCTGAATTTTAAATACCTATTGAAAAATCAAAATAAGTCCCGTTATCCCGATAGCATGACATAGATTAAGAAACATAGAATGCTAGTGCACAGTATTGTTCATTAATGGACAACACACTGTGCACTAACATTCTATTTTTCTTAAATGGTATTAATAATTAATGGTTCTTTATTAATGATTAATTGCCCATTAATGTCTATTCTTAACACACATTTATCATTTGATAGCAAAATTCATGACACAGCCGGCAAGGTTTTTTTTTTTTTTTTGCGTATCAGCGGGACTGGCGACCCACTGTGGATTGATGCTTAGCAAAAGTGTCTCAAAAATTACTTCTGCGAAAGATGCTTTACGAAAATATCTAATATGATTAATATTACCTAAGACATAGAAGTGTTTAAATTCAATATGCATTTGGGTAACTTAAAAGTTGTCAATTTAATAATAATGTACAATGTAGCCTTCCAATGCCTTATCAATGTAGAAACATACAAACTTACTTATAACTTACTTATTAAACTTAAGCAACCGTGAAAACTACAAAACTACCGGCCTTACAGGTAGAAAAAAACAAAACAGAGGGAAGAAAGTGATTTTTGTTGTCTTATGGTTTACAACCGCAACGTTTTACAATGCCTTTTATGTTTTTTTGTTAGTGTGTTGTTTACGCTATTGAAAGACACTTCCTTGTAGTTTGGTATTAAGTTGGTATTAAGTTATTTGAGAAAAAAATCTTGCCGCTTCTTTTGATTAAATGATTTTCATTACAAAACCCGTTTTAAAAGCACTTCAGTATTCACAGAGTATTATTAATGTTAGCGAAGTTTGCCAAAGTTCTAAATTTTTTGTATATTATAGGTACTTAATGGTACTTTACTACTATATTGAAAAATTGAGGGTTTTATGCGTTTTGTAAGCTCTAAATGTAACAAAATGTCATATAATCAAATAGTCGAATCAAGAAATATACAACATACCACTAAAAACAGAATTAAAAGAAAACATTTATTAAAAGTTAATCGTGATCTATATATAGCTGCCAGCTTACATGTATACTCCATCTCCTAGTTGAAGAGTAATTTCATATCATCTATAATCCACTTATAATCCACTTAGCCCCTTACT